GGTGTCTTCCGAAACCGAAGGAGTATTGTGAGAAAGTCTTTTGGAACCTAAAATTTTCGGTGAAAACGGGAAGGGTATCTGAATAATCTTTTTCAGTTTCCAATAATACCTTGTTTAATATCTGGAAATTTTTTTGCAAACTCTTCGGTTTTGGAATGCTTTGCGATTCTGACAGAACCGTTTATTTTAAGTTTTTTCATGATGCAAAATTTCATTGCATCACAAAACGTAGTTCGTTAGAGTATCAACTCTTTGCCTCTTGCAAAAACTTAAGTAGAAAACGCAACTCTTACTAGAACATGAAGTACCACAGCATATCGCCCGTTTTATCGCAATGAAAATCCTCACCTGGAGCGAGTAATGGTGGAAAACGTTTTATTGCCCTTTCATCCAGATAGATGCGAAAACGTAATAATAATAGCCTTAGACGATCCAATATAAAGAAGTTAAGGTAGATACGCATTTTCACGAAACACGTTCGGAAACTCTTTTTCGGGGGTTTCCGGAAATGAAACTATATGAAACGAATAAGCGTATTCAAGGATTCGGAAACCTTTTTTCGAAGTTTTCGAGAAAAAAGTCGAACGAGACGAAAAAGGGTTTCCGGAGCAGAAAAAGGCTCGGGAGAGCTTCAAAACCCATTCCTCAGAAACGAATAAGCGCTTCATATAGTTTCATTTTCGCGAACGCATTAAGTGTTTCCGAGAATACGTTTTTTGTTTAGAGTGTACACGTGCACGATTGTGCAATAAAAACTTCTACGTCCACCTTTGAAATAGTAAAGAGAACGCATGGCGAAAAGGGGAGTGACAAAATATCTGAAAAGGAGTAGAATTCGAATTCAGTCATTCGCAAGAAAGAGAAGAAAAGAAGAATTTTTGAGTATGAAATCGGCGAGTTGTATGCTGAAGGAATCATACAGCAGATTTCTAAAATTTCCTGATTATTCTTTACATAGACACGTAAGCAGTAGCGACCTATTGCGTCTGTGGAGCTTTAAATGCTCTATCGTTTGATAAAACAATCATCCGTTAAAAAAGAAGCTTGAATATTATTAAGAGCACGAATATTTTCAAGGGGTAAGCGAAACAGTTGGATGAAACCAGAAGACCACAGTCGATTACTTTTCTGCGATAAAAATTGTCTAATATTCTTCATATTAACTTCTTATATAAACTAAAATACGTCTGTAGAAGTAAACCCATTTAAGTGCAGTGTAACAGAAAATGTACGGTCGACGGAAACATTGAATGCTGAATGCAAATTTACTAAATCGTACTGTCGAACCTTATTTCACTGGATACTTTCTTTGAATGAGACTCGCCGTTCTGCTCCAGATACTGTTGATCTCATTTGAACTGTGTTTATACTAATTCTCGACTTTTTTTTAGCCGTAATCTCTCCTGGTTCTGATAGTATAATACATATCAACGCAAGTACTGAAATATCCAGCGATATAATGCGTTTCAATGAAATAACAAGTGAGTTAGATGACGTTGCTCATCCTTCAACATTATAAAAGCTATTTATTTCTATCAGATAGCACTTCACGTGTAGCTGAAAACAATAAAAAACTTAAACTGATAGGTGGAATCTATAATAGCTACAGACCTCAAACAAAAACTACACTGTTTCCTCGTCGAGGTAAATGTCTTGGACAGTCTCGCTATCCGAATTATATCAAAAACGGACACAATAAAGGCATTCTCACCATTGAGGTAGGGATATATAAGTTTTTATCCGCGCAATAATAGTTTCACGATTATTTAGATTCCGGAAATTTATCGTCAAGAAAAAAATCTAATAATGCAAGTTGTGCATGTTACTGAACGTTTTAATGGTTGTTTCTTTTATCATCTTAATAAACTTCAAAGAGATGATAAAAACAAAAATGTCAAGGATGAAAATCCGATATATCACAAAGTCACCGAACAAAATCTTCGATCCAGCCAAATAAGGTACGAAAAATTAACATCAAGGATATGCGACACTAATAGAATTATTTATAGTCTGAAATTGGTGGTTATTCAAGCATTGCTGGGTGACATAGAAAATGTTCGAGTTTTGAGACCATTCAACACAGAGATAACTATTGAACAGCAATCACGTAAGGAAATTAATGACAAACTCTCCCATTACATTCACGTAGGTTTTCGTTTAGCGCATGTAGACACTGCTGAGGAATTGGTTCAGTTATATAAGATGCAAAAGTCGCGATTTGCCTTTACATTATGTAGATATCATGGTACAGAAAGGCTCGATGAACCTGTTAAGGTCGGCTGTCCAATTAATATCGATATTCAAGAAAGCGACATTGAACGTTTGATGGAAACTACGATAATATCTCCAGTAACCACTGAACTCGTTGGTTTGTATTACATACACACAACTTTATTAATATATTGATTGATTTTATTCTCTTTCTATAGTAAGGCAAAGAAAAATAATGGAAAAGAGTAAGCATCCCAACATGAGTGACGAGAATGACAAAACTTGAGTATGTTTTTGTAGAACCAACAAATACAGAAAAGGCTAGAAAAAAACCAAAACGTTGTGAATCACGGGCCGCAAAAAAGAATTTGTAGCAAAGTCGAAACACAAGGTATGAAGAAGCATTTCACATTCCTGTACTTTTTTTAAAAAATAACAATAAGTTTACGAGTTCCATGGAACAATGTTCACATGTAACAAAACCCAACTCTCTGCTAATCAGATGTTAGTTTCATGCGAAAATATTGAGTTTAATCTTCACCAAATAAGTATGTAACAGTGATATGCGAGTTGAGAAGAGCCCTATTTTCCATGTGCTAAGGAGTCACTCAATCAGTCTCATGGACATCACTAAATCAGGACTACTCCGAATTCTGTACGTAATATTTTGTAAACGAACGTGTTTCTGACTATCGAGCTTAATATTGGTGAAAGACAGTAATAGTGTATAGAACAGAAGGACGTATTTTCATCACTTTGAGCTACACGACATTCAACTAACAGAGCTTGTAAAATACATCAACAGTTATAAAACTGGAATGTTGGTAAAGTATAACTTTCTCTTCACTGTTCAAGCTTGATCGAATCCTTTAAAACCGTATTACTTCTATCCATAGAAATGATAACAGATCTGTCAGCTGTACCTGTCGTGAAAAGGTCATAGAATTTCAAGAGAATTGTGCATCATGTGGAAAACTGTAAATAACGCTCATAAAAAAATTATCCGTTCTACGTCTTTCATTTAGAATGATGCTAATTTCGATGCTGATGTAGTATTAATTAAGCAATTGCATGATCTGTCAGATGATTTTGTTCGATGACTTTGCAGTATATCGGATTTTTATCCTTGACATTTTTGTTCTTATCACTTTTTTGAAGTTTATTAAAACGATAGTAGAAATAACCATTATAAAATTCAGTAAGATGTACAACTTGAGTCAGGTGAGATTCATAATCCATTTGGCTTAGTTTAAAAAGATGATTGAAACATTGCTAAATGTGATGATATTTTCTTAGTTCTTTTTGTTATCCTTTTTTTTTCATTCAAAAATAAAACACTGATTGAACTATTTATTTTTAGAGATAATCGTCGATGTACTGTGGTCTGTGGAACAGATGTGTAAATACACAGCGAATCCCAATATGCAAAGATATATTATTCAAGACGCAAACTATTTTTTGCAAAGTTTGAGATTTAATTCAGAGTTGTAAAATAAAGATCCAGCAAATCTCACTGTTAGAGAGAATTTCAGGTTGATC